AAAAAAAAAAAAGAAAATAGTAGTATTAGTGTATATGATTACTATTTACTGCGCAGTCATTTCTTTTCTTTTTCTTCTTTTACTCCTTCATTTTGCTATGGTCTTTAGGAGTTGTCTCTCCTATTTTTTGTATTTTACTCTTATTAGTAAGTTTCCCCAATCAATCACTATCACTATCACTATCATTATTAGAGGAGCCGTGGGGGCGTAGTGTTTATGAACTCTTTATCCCCGTCTGCTGTTGGTCGAACCTTTGCGGATGTATTGCGTAGTATAAATATATTAACTGGTGGTAAACCCAATCCCTGTCCAAACAATTTGGAGGCGACAATGTTATTACTGGATCGTCTTAATATGCGAGGCCATATGGAGAAACTGCGATTTGTACATGTGGCAGGCACCAAAGGGAAGGGAACAACTTCAGCATATACCTCTGCGTTATTACAATCATATGGATTGAAGGTTGGACTCTTTACATCACCTCATATTGTGGATGTTCGAGAACGTATTATGGTGAATAATGCTCTTTTATCAAAGGAATTATTTACGCGATACTTTTTTGAAATGCAAGATCGCTATACAGAACTTATGAATTCAGAAAGTCAACTCTCTCGTGATATTGCACAACGGTCTAACTTTTTTCGATTTATGTTTGTCCTTTCTCTACATATCTTTGTAGAAGAGGCTGTTGATGTGGCCGTGATGGAAGTTGGTATGGGTGGACGTCTTGATGCCACAAATGCTATTTCACCGGATGTATGCGTCATTACAGCGTTGGGTCTTGATCATACAGAAATTTTGGGGAATAGTATAGAAGAGATTGCACTGGAAAAGGCTGGTATTATGAAACCTGGTGTGATTTGTTACACTGCCCCACAAAAAGATCATCTTTCTACTATTAAAGTACTTGAAATGTATGGACATAAAGTAGGAGCTCCTGTGGTGGTAGTGGATGAACATACATTACCCATACGAAATTGGCCTTCTCTTGCGATTGGAGGTAGTCATGCTATTGAAGATTCCAAATTGGCGTTACTGGCAGCCAGACGTATTGCTGGGATTCTCCCTACTTTACCATTAAGTGAAGTGGAACGTAATGTATTACAAACTATGACTTTTGCAGGTCGTTCGCAAGTACTTCCATTTGGTGGTGAATCTAATGTTATTTTTTACTTGGATGGAGCTCATACGTATGAAAGTCTACGGGATTCTACCCATTGGTTTATGGAAGAGAGTTGCAGGGTTTCTGGTGATCCTCATCCACGAAGAATACTTGTTTTCTACACCTCTCGCGATCCTCATTATGTGTTAAAAGGATTTATGCCGTATGTGAGTGGATTTTGTAAAGTTATTGTGGCTCAAATATTTAATCCTCGAACTTCCACAGCCACTGCGGCATTAACGGCAGAAGAAAGAGCAAAGAAAGAGATGGTATCTACTACCGAATGCTGGAGGGAACTCTATCGTGAAGTTCCTTGTATATCTTGTACAGGACCATTTGATTCAATTCAGGAACTTATTGATTTATGTAATGTTACTGTAAATGAGACGGAAGATACCTCAAAATCTCCGCAAATATTTATTACAGGTTCTTTTTTCCTAGTTGCAGATATAATGAATTTGATTATCGCGAAGAAACAAACCTCATCCTGTGATTAGAGAATAATGGATGGTAATAATAATGATAATAAAGACACAATAAAGTAAATGGAAATGCTGGTCCTTTTGGAAATACAATAGTGAGTTTTATCATCATCTCCTGCAACTCAATTTTGCTGTCACTCCTCTCCCTGTCTTTTCTCCTATTGTTTTTTTTTTTTCTTTAATTCTTATCGTTCCATCGCTCGAAAGTAAATATATACAAAAAAAAAAAAACAGAAAAAAATCATAAACATATAAATGTATATATAATCTTGGTTCTTGTTCTTGTGTTTTTGGTGGTGGGGTTTTCTTCCTGTGACATCTCTTTATTGATTTCTTTTTTTTTGTTTTCTATCTTTTCATCTTGTTTTATTCTATCGGATAGAAATAAAAGAAATAAGGGAGTGGGGAAAGTTATTTAAAAAAGAAAAAAAAAAAAAAGAAAAAATGGGTCCCTATGTGGTGCTTGATGTACCAGTGAATACCACGTCTCTATGTGAAAAGACGACAGCACTTCTTGATACTTATACCGCAGAGGGTGATACTCTTATAAAAGTGGTACGTTGTGCAAAACACTACGGTGCCGCATTATTTCGTACTGGTCGATTGGTCTTGTTAGCACCTGAGTCTGAAAAGAAGCATGGAACTAAAATAGAAAGTGGTGATGGTATTGTTTGTGATGTTGCTGCAGGTGATAATCATATTGTTTTCTGTAAGGATGATGGAACAGTGTTTTCTTTTGGATACAGTAATAAATATGGACAATTAGGTGATGGAACCGTCTGGGAGAGTTACTTTTTAGAGAAATCTAGTAATAGTAATGATAATGATGATGATGATGATGATGAATTGCCGATATTATCTCCTCCACGTAAGATTAACGGATTTAGTCTTGGTAAAAGGGGTAATGAAGAGGGTGATGTTGTAGAGGGAAAACGAATTTGTGTACCTGTAATTGCTGTAGCTTGTGGTGCTTTTCATACCTTACTCTTAACAAGTCAGCGAAATTGTGTTTATGGTTGTGGTCTTGGTTTAGAAGGACAACTGGGTGGAAGCCGACGTCCATTATTACAACCATCATTTAAATCTATTCATCTTTTATTTGGATTACCTATTAAGCAAATTGTGGCTGCAGGAAAACATTCTTTTGTTCTTCTTCAAACTGGAAAATTATTCGCTTTTGGTGATAATACATCTGGACAACTTGGATTTGGTTCTACACATTCTGTTACTACTCCAACAGCTGTTAATTTTTCAGTTACCGGTTCAAATGAAAAGAGTAAAAAAAAGAGAATAGATGCTTCTACTCTTAAAGGGTTAAGAGCTGCATGGGGAAGTGCAGAAAGTATGTATTTTCCTTTACGTGTTGAACGGTTAAGTCCAGAATTAGATCCTGATGAACCTTTTATTGTGTCTATTTGGACTTGTGCTAATAGAAGTGTTGCTCTTGCTAATACAATGGAATGGTTCTCATGTGGTCTTCCATTATCTAGAGCCCCTTGTGAAAAAGGTGGAAAGATTTTACGCAAGAGAATGGATAGTTATGGTCCATTAGGACGTTGGATGGGTCGTAAAGAAGAAGCTGCATTTTTTGGAAAAATGCAATGGTCAGAAAGGATTGCCCTTTCCCTTGGTATTAGTCATTTTCCTTTATTATCAAATGATGGAGTCTCCTTTGATGAGATTATAGCTTCCATTTTTGTTTTTTGTACGAACCATGCCGTTTTTATACTTATTCCCAAAAATGAGAAGGAAAACCAGACATTTTTATTTGTTGAAGGGGAAGCCAAAAATGTCTATTTAGTTGATAAAAATGGAGATCAATCACCGTTAGAACCTACTGTTTTGGCCGAAAAACTTATTTATGATCACAAAGTTGATGATGATTCTTCAGAGTACATTCTTCCTGAAGCTCATTCTATTTTTCTTTCAGAAAGACTTTTGGTCGCCGTTTAAAAGGCGGATGTATTTTTATGCAAACGTATGTATCTATATATATATATATATATGCCTTTCTTTCTTACAATACTGTATTTGTGTGGCGTTTGTTGATTTCTTTTTTTTTTTTTCTTTCACAGTGATTTGGGATCTGGTGGCCGTTGCGGTTGTCAGACTCATTTTTTTTCACTTTTTTCCAAATGGAGGATAAAATTTTTTTTTTGTTCTTTTTTTTTTCTTTTTCTTTTTCATCAGGGAAACACACCCCCAAGAAAAGGGCAGAATAAAAAAGCAAAAAAGCAAAAGGTAAGGAAAATGGTTCGGCCGGCCGCCCCGTTTTTATTCCCCTTTCCCTTTTCCTTTTCCCGGGGCCATGGGGGAAGGGCAGCCCCACCGCCCAACAGAGGAGCGGAACCCCCGCGCCAAAAATCCCCCTTTTCCGAGCTTCAAGAGGAGGAGGAGGGGGAAGTGGGGATCTAACAAAAAGAAAAATCCCGGCAATTCGCGGGGTTTTTGGTTTTTTTTTTTTTCTTCTTCCAGGGTTTTTCCAAAAGGTAAAGAAAACAAAAAAAAGAAAAGGAAAGATTTGAAAAATATCGTGTGTTCATGTATTCGAACCCAGTGATATTTTTTCTGGAAATTAAACATTAACAAAAGAACGATTCTCTCAGGATCGCGAATTTGAGGCATTCAGACATATAAAATATTTAATTTTTTTTATAAAATAATATTTTTTAATTTATTTAAAATAAAAAAATTTATCCGGATAAGCTTTGCGCAGGGAGGTGTGAACGCAAGATCCTTCGGTGATTGTTCACAAGTGCAAATACTATATCCGGTACTCCTTCGGGGAAAATTTGTCACCCACCACGGGCGGGATAAAAAAAAAAAAATTTTTTATTTTTTATTTTCGTTTTGTTTTTGAAGGATGAAAGAGAGTTTACTGAAAAAGAAATTAAAAAAAAAAAATACAGACACAGACAGAGAGATAGAGAGAGAGAGAGACGCATCAATCTATAGAAAGAAATTCTTTTCACTAAAAGTTAGGATGGGTTTGGATTCAAAAATGACCAACGCAAAGTGTGTTTGGATAGAAAATGAAAAATTTATTAATTTCATCAATCCTTCACGATAAAAATCAACCAAGAGGATTTTAAAAGAAACCCCACCCCACAAACACACACATACACACCCAGAAAACGAAAACCAAGTCAAATTTTATTTTGATAACGTGCATTCCTTTTTTTTTTCCACAACTTGCGAAAAGAATGATCGAGTTTTACTGTTGTTTTTTAGCAAATTTTTTACAGGGGGTTCTAATTTTTAGGAAAATGAGTTTTCTTTCTAATCTCAGAGTTTGTCAATCGTAAGTTTCTGAAAAGCCCACCCAACAACCAAACCCAAACCTCTCCGATCGGGGAGCGGTTTAAAAGGGGCTTCCCAGCACTCTTCCATTTCGTTAGTTTCTGTTATGTATTTAGAAAATATCAACTTTAAAAGACTGCGTAGAGATATGTGACAGAATCTTAGAACTTGTATAAAGAAATATAGAAATAAATATTTCTTTTCCTTTTTATTCTTTTTTTAAAGGGGGAGTAAAGCTAGGGGGTATTCTTTTTTAAATCCAATCCCTTCTTGACGTTTGGCTATTGGAAGGCGTGCTAGGGGACATTGCGTCTTGTTCTTTCGGTGGGGAAGCCTTGGGCCAAACAGTGCCCTCTTCTATATCGCTTTCGGGGTTCATAAGTAATAAATGTTAAATAGCGCCGGATCCCGCTGCGTTATGATTGTGCAATTTTTTTTTTTTAATTTGAAGAATGTTCTAGGGCATGCGCGCCGACTGCGCTATCATCGTCATCTTTGGTTTCTTTTACAAATTTCACATTTTTTGTGAATGCTTTAAAGGAAGAAGCAAATGGACCCATTTTGGATGGTTAGCAGTTATGGTATTCCTTTGATAAAAAATTTTGCATTTGGCCGCTGGGATAACCCAGAAAGGTAAAATAAATTCTTTTCCACACTATTTACTGGATTCTATCCAATTTTTTTGCCATTCGATCTTTTCTCGGAAGAATAAATATGAATTTTATATAAACAGCCACCTGCAGCATACTAATACGGTAAATCCCAGAAAGAGAGGAGAAAAAGAAAAAAAAACAAAAAAAATTATTTTTTTTTCATTTTATGGGAGAATTGAAAACCCCATACTTCCTTTTTTTTTTTCACCAGTGATTTGTAATAATAATGGGGATTTTCTGGAAAAATTCCGAAAAACCAAGGCCACTGGGGGGATCGAACCCCCGACCTCCGTCTTACTAGGACGGCGCTCTGCCATTGAGCTAAGCGGCCACGGTTTTGGTATTCAAAAAATTATATAATTACCTCTTCTCTCATAACTTCTACTTTTTTTCTTCCTATAGACTATGGGAGGGGGGAGGGTAAAAAAATTTATATAATATATATATATATAATTCCTTTAAGTGTCGTTCAAGGCGCAGTTGGTCTAGTGGTAGAATTCTCGCCTGCCACGCGGGAGGCCCGGGTTCGATTCCCGGACTGCGCATTCTCTTTTCGAACTCCTTAACTTCATTATTTTTTTCTCCTCCTTTTAATTGTTAAAAAAAAAAAACACACAATTTATTTTTTATATATATCATGGGGTTCCAATTCTTGGAGATCAAATACAGGGTTTGTTCTTTCTTCTTCTCTTTTCTTCTTTGCGGTGGAAGTAAGACTAAGATTATTCTTTTTCTGTTTTCCGAACCAACCATTCCCTAGACCCTCCAATGCGGAAAGGATCTGAAGAGGGAAAAGAGGTCTTAAAATCTTTAACTACGTAAGTTCTGTCCGGAGAGTTTTCTGGCAGAATAGAAAATTTGATATTTAATGCCTAGCCTTCACGTTTCTTATAATGGAACGTTCTTGTTGGAATTATTGGGAACTTTATCGAATATATATATATATATATTTGCTTTATTTATTTGTTTGTTTTCTTTTGCCGGGGTTGGCTAAAGTAGCGAGCGTATTTCTTTTTTTTCTTTTAGTTCGTTTGTTTCTTGTTTTTTTTTTTCCTTCTAACGGGAGGTTTGCCCTCTCGTCTTCCCGCCCTTTTCTCATCGGTCTCCCCCACCCTCCAGGGATGGTCTGGGAAGCGGGTCGGGAGGTTCGGTTCCCCTGGCGGCCAATCCTTTTTCGCAAACTGCGGTTCCGACCTCTCGCTTCGCTTTCTCCCCCGGGTCTTCGTTGTTTTCTTTTCGTTTTCACTTTCCTATTTTTCCCGTCCGCCGCTAGGGGCGAAGGAAACTAAAAAAAAGAATAAGAAAAAAAACAAAAAAGGGGGCGGGGCCGGGAGCCGTTTCCGCGGGTTTCCTTTTTCCGGGGCGGGGGCGCGGCGGGGAACGCGGCCGGCCTCCGCCTTCCCGATTTTTGTTTCTTGTTTTTTTTTTCTTCTACAGGAGCCTTCGGTGGTAATGTTCGTTTTTATTTATTTATTTTTTTTTTTTTTATCGCCCGTGTGATTTTCTTTACCGGGCGTTACCTGTGAATGCGGGATTTGCTCTTCTTAACTATGTTTTATTATTATTATTCTTTACCGTTGCGGTCTCTGGAAAAGAGACAGAAAAAGAAAAAAAAAAACATAATTAAGAAGAGTAAATCTTAATGAGTCATGCATTTTATTTAAAAATAAATACTCTATTTAGTTTCACAATATTTTTTATTTCTATTCTTCTTTATGGTGGAATGGGACGTCTCTGAGGAAAAGGATTTGTTTTTATTCTACAGCATTTTATTCAAATATATATATATATATATTACTTTATTTGTTCTTTTTTTCTTATTTTGTTTAATCCTTTTTTTTCATATTTTAGTGTTCATTCTTTTGAAAATCAAAGGATCTATTAAAAATGCAAGATAAAGTGCAAAAAAAAAAACAAATAAAAACAAACAAACAAACAAACAAACAAACAAAGGAAAGTGAACCTTAAATATAAAACCAAGTGAGAGGGAGATTTTACAGTAAATGAGGTAAGAGTTGATGCAACTGTTTTCTTTTTTTTTCTTTTTCTGTGAGTGATATTGAAATGGAAATAGGGACCAAAAAGGGAAAACTAAGTGTATTCTTTTTTTTTTTTTAATTTACCACTATGTTTCTTTTTTGTTTTCACCTTTGTTTGTTTTCACCTTTGTTCTTTTTTTCTTTTAAGCTTAACATTGTAGTTTGTGTTCTCTTTTTCTTTTTTTATTTTATTTTCCACATGTTTTTTTTTTTCATTGTAACCTTGTTTGAGTGATTTGATTATTTAAAAAACATTTACAGTGAAATGTTTTTTTCTTTTTTTTTTTTATTCTGGTAATTAACTTTCTTCATGTCTCTGTATATTATTTTTCCTTTATTTTTTTTTCTTTTCTCTTTTTTTTTTTGAAAAAAAAAAAAACAAAATAAATAAATTAATATTAGGGTATTAGCACCATGCGTGGAGGATTTGGGCGTGGAGGTGGTGGTCGTGGAGGATTTCGAGGAGGTGGTGGTGGCAGAGGTGGTGCACCAGCTGGACGAGGCCGTGGAGGCGGTGGTGGAGGAAGAGGAGGAGGATTTGGACGTGGAGGAGGTCGTGGGGGACGAGGAGGAGGTCGAGGAGGTGGTGCAGGAGCAAAGGTGGTTGTAGAACCACATATGCTTCATCCTGGCGTCTTTATTTCCAAGGGAAAGGCCGATTCTCTTTGCACACTAAACATGGTTCCTGGTATTTCAGTATACGGTGAAAAGCGAATTGAGCTAGGAGCTGTTCAAGGAGGAGATGAAAAGAAAGAATATCGCCTGTGGAATCCTTACCGTTCTAAACTTGCAGCTGCAATTTATGCAGGAGTGGGGAGTATTCACATGAAACCTGGATCTAAAGTTCTTTATCTGGGAGGAGCAAGTGGTACAACTGTAAGTCATGTAAGCGATCTTGTTGGACCTGAAGGTATGGTATATGCGGTAGAGTTTTCTAACCGAAGTGGTCGTGATCTTGTTGATATGTCTAAGAGAAGACCTAATATTGTACCTATTATTGAAGATGCTCGTTACCCTATGAAGTACCGTATGCTTGTACCTATGGTGGATTGCATTTTTATGGATGTTGCCCAACCAGATCAAGCACGTATTTTGGCTCTTAATGCCCAAGCATTTTTGAAAAATGGAGGTCATTATGTGATTTCTATTAAAGCAAACTGTATTGATTCAACATTGGAAGCTCCTGTTGTCATCGCATCGGAACTTAATAAACTAAAGAAAGATCGCCTAAAGCCGTTAGAGCAGGCTTCATTGGAGCCATTTGAAAGAGATCACGCCGTCGTGGTTGGTGTCTATCGCTCTGTGAAGAAGGCAACACAATAATAATCGTTCTAAATTAACTCGGAATCATATTTACAAGCCTGAAAAAACAAAAAAACAAAAAGAAAAAGAAAAAAAAAATACTGAGACGAGAAAAAAAAAGAGTAAAAAAAAAAAGAATGGGATAATCAGAAGTACTTCTTGAAGGAAGAGTTAAAGTAAAGTAAGAAAAAGAAAATAAATCGCCTTCAAATCAGAAGAATACACAAACTGATTATACTCGATAAAGCATATACTGTGCCTATTTATCTATTTGTTTTGTTATTTTTTTCGTTCTTTCTTTAACTCTATCTTGTTTTGTTTTTTATTATTATTCTTAATATTATTATCATTTTTTTTTTCTTTTTCTTCTTTTCTTTTTCTTTTTGTTTATTCTTTTTTTTTATTTGGTGATTTCCTAATAAATTAAAGTAATAAAAGAAAAGAAAAAAGGAGCTCACACACACACAAAAAAAAAAAAGGCGATAGTAATGTCTCTAGGTTCACCAGTATTTTCTTCAGATCCATCACTTAAGGAAAATTATGATATAATTAGTGAGGCAATTAATGCCATTTTAAATAAGAGGATGTCAAACTATTCATTTCAACAGATTTATCATTCTGTCTTCAATCTTTGTCAACGTAAATGTAGTGCTCCCCTCTTTGATCATTTACTAGGAATTCTTTCTGCTCAAGTAGTAAATATTCGTGATCGATTACTAAGTTGTAATGAAGAGACATTTCTACAAAATCTTAATAGTGAATGGAACGCCTTTAGTGGTTCAGTTTTGGGTATTAGCAGGGTCTTGTTATACCTTAACAACAACTATACAAGGAATGGACAAACTATTCAACAAATGGGAGAAAACCTTTTTTCTACATTTGTACTAAAAAATCAAAATATTTCAGAAGTTTTAATACAATGTGTTAGAAAAAGTCTTTCTTCTGATACCGTTTCTCGAATGGCACTTAGAGAAATAAGTATAAAACTTTGTAAACATTACCGAGATACACTTTATGAACCATATATTGAAGATCCACTTATTACTGTTTTAAAAGAAGAATATAGAGTTAAAATGAATGAAATGCTTAATAAAATGGATACAAATCAGTATCTTATTTGGGCACTTGATGTGATTGAACGAACTAAATTAGATGTTTCTGCTTTGGTAGGTGAAGAAACATGTCAAAGAGTTGAGCAAAATCTTGGATTATTACTAATAAAAGAAAATACTGAAAAATTACTTTATAGTCTTTCTGGTGGTGGTACTGAAATGATTAGAGATATGGATATAAAATCATTAGGACGTTTGGTAATGGCTCTAGAGAAAGTAAATGAAACCGAAGCATGTTTAAGTATGCTAATTACTACTGCAAGAAAAATGGGAGCGGAATTATTAAATGAAAAAGATCATGAATTTCCTGTAGTTGCAGTAGAAAAAGTTTTGACATTAAGAGAAAAATTACAAGGATTAGTTGAAAATCTTTCTGGAATTCCTAAAGGAGATAAATCACCTGTTGTTCAAGCTATTACAGAGATAGTTAATGATAATAGTGATTTTGCTGAAAAACTTGCTTATTATTATGATGCAAAGATTAAATCACGACCTCCTAGGGAAACTTTAGAAAAAATTGCAGCAGATACTTTTAGTTTATTTCGACTTCTTAGATCAAAGGAAACTTTTGAGCATATTTTTAAATTACTTTTAGCAACAAGATTAATCAATTCTAAACCAGATTATTCTTTTACAGATGAGTTTTTTTTAATTGAAAAACTTCGAAATGAATGTGGAGATTCAGTAGTAAATCATCTTGAAATTATGATGAATGATGGAAAAGTACGAGAAGAAATTAATAAAGGATTTCTTTCTTATGCTTGTAAAAAGAGAGAATTACCTTTAGATTTTAACGTTCTTGTAATAACTTCTGGAGTTTGGCCAGAATATACAAATTTATCTATTGATCTTCCATTGAGTATGCAATCTTGTATACAATTATTTCGAGCATATTACCTTCCACATTATAATGCCAGAAAACTTTTATTTCATAAAAACCTTGGGACAGTGTTTTTTACATTAAATCATGGAAAAAAATATGAACTTGCTGCCCCAACAGCATTTGTTAATACTATTCTTTGTTTTCAAAACCGTGAAAAAGAGGAACGTCTAACTCTTCAACAAATTTGTTGTGCCACAAAATTAGTTGAAAGTGATGTTTTACCTCAATTAGAATCTCTTTGTAGTATGGGATTAATTACTGTTGAACTTATCAACGGATCTCCAGTGTACATTTTTAATCAAAGTTTTACAAATCACAAAACCAAACTTCGAATACGAGCAACAAGTGGAAGTAAAGCCATAGAAGATCATACAGAAGAACGAACTCATCATGAATCTCTAGAGAGTTCACATTCATCAAAACTTCAAGCAGTTTTAGTTCAGATAATGAAGAAAAACAAGTTTATTGAGCATTCTGAATTATGTAATCGTGTTTTTGAGTTCCTACAGGGAAAGGGATTCGTACCAAGTATGACTGATATTAAAAAGTCTTTAGAAACCCTTATGAGTAAAGGGTTTATTTCCAGAGGAAGTCGTCCTGATACATATGTTTATGAAAGCTAGTCTTTTTTATTTTTATTTTATTTTTATTTTGCCAATTAGTGACAGATTTCACTACACTGGTTATTTTAGTTATATATATATATTTTTTTTTTTTTTTTGTTTTTTTTTTTTTTTTTTTTTTTTTTTTTTTTCTGGGTTTATCTCTTTTATTTGAATCCTTTCTCTTTTACCCCACCCCACCTTTTTTTTTTCCTCACATGATACAGTGTTCATTTTTCACTCAATTAATATATATATATATATATAAAATAAAATATCTACTTATATGACTCGGGATCCTTTTCTTGGGACCATATTGAAGGAAATATCTACTTCAAAACTCTGGGTGATAGTCACTTTTGCTATTGGAGCCGTTTCGTTTTATATTCTATTAAAGAAACGTAAAAGACAACAAGCACCCCCACGAAGGAGAGAAGATTCTTATACCACAAAAATAAATTCATCTTCGGTATGGAATAGAATTCATCAAGACCTAAAAGGTAACGGTGTATGTATTTCCTGGGAGGTTCTTACTGATAATGGTGAGTGGAGGGAGGATGGGAAAAGGGCCCTAGAAACACTTGCCACCCATATGGATGTTTATTTAATGTGTCAAATCAAAAGCGAAGAGGAAAAGAAAAAAATTCTTTTAATGGTAGCAGATATTAATGGACTTGTACGACACAAAATTCTCTTCTGTCAGACCGGAAAAGGATATGAGGCATTTTGTCGACAAATTAAACCGGGTTTGGTGATTTTGCACGATGAACCACTAGCTTCGTTTTTGAGCACTGTTCTTCCCGATGTTGTGCTTGTGGGGGGAACCTCTCCAAAAACTACCGTTACCTCCCTATCTACTGTTCGCGAATTATTATCATAAGTCGAAAAAAAAAAAGAAATTACGAGGGGAGGTTGGATCAACACATCGCAAACAGAACATAGAAGATAGTTCGACCACAAAAAAAAAAAAAAAAAAAAAACAGAAAAAAACAAAAACAAAGCTGACACACTCAATTATATTACTATTGATTATTTACTTATAAAATTTTGTTTAGAAACAACATACTTTGTCATCCTTATTTCTTATTTATTTATTTATTTTATTTTTATTTTTTTGATTAATGATAAGTTAGTGTAGTGTTCTCTAGATCAATGTCGGATGAACGTATTCTTCTAGTAACCGGAATTCCCACAAAGCTTTGTTGTGGAGAAGAGCTATACAAAGTATTTGGAAGCTACGGTGCAATTCAACAGCTCCGCATAGGGAGTGATAGCTGTACAAAAGGTTGTGCCATTGTTGTATATGAATTATGTGAATCGGCATCTGCTGCCCTTGAGGCATTGAATGACTTTAAAGTGGATAAGGATAGGTTCCTAAGAGTTTCTGTATATGACGAAGTGAGAGACCGTAAGGCACTAGAGAGAAGAAAGAGGAGACGGGAGATGAAGGCGGAATATAAACGAAATATAGCGGGTGATTTTGTGGCTGGTGAAGAAGGAAGTTAAATAAATCTTCAATACAGACCACGATGACTCAGGCGAAAAAAAAAAATGTTCATGTGGGCGTCTGTATCTATGTGGAATGAGTGAAGTGAAGCTGTACTGTTTCTACTACGATTCGTACTAGTGCTTATTATTATTATTATTATTATTATTATTATTATTATTATTATTATTATTATTATTATTATTGTTATTATTATTATTTATGGTTATTATTACTCCTGTGGGAGCATATTATTATTTATTTATTTATTTCTCTCTGTACTCTCATGCTCTTTTTTTTTTCTTTTTCTTTCTTCGCGCTACTTCTCTTTGTTTCCCCAGTACAATGATAGGTGTTGTAATGTTTCTAGACTCCAGAGGGGATGTGATCCTTTCACGGAGTTTTCGTGATGGTTACAGCGTACGAGGACTTGCTGAAGAATTCCGTAATCAACTTATCTCTACCAAGATGGTAGATCGTAGTCCAATTAATATCATAGGTAATTTTTGCTATGTACATGTGGGATTTCGAGATTTATATTTAGTATTTGTATCCGATGGAAATGTTAATTGTTTTGTTTGTCTTCAGTACGCAATACAGCTCCTGGATATTTGTTTTGCTTACTTTGAAAGTATTAATGAGGAAACTCTAAAAGAAAACTTCATCGCATTGCAAGAGCTTATTGATGAAAGCATGGACTTTGGATATCCACAGACTACAGATGCGGGATTACTGAAATTGTTTATTGATGAAAAAGGAGTTGATGTAGGTTTAATTAAAAAACCACAAGAATCTAGTCAAGTGACATCAAGAATAACAGGAAAAATGCCTTGGCGAAGAGAAGGTCTTTGGTACCGTGCGAACGAATTATTTGTTGATGTTATTGAAGAATTAAATGTTTTGGTATCTCAAACCGGAGAAGTTTTAGAAAACAGTGTAGCTGGTCGAGTAACAGTAAAGAATTTTCTTTCTGGTATCCCTGAATGTCAACTTGTTTTGGGTGATGAAATTTCTGTAGAAGATGCTTTTTTCCATCCATGTGTGAATCTTGGTACAGATCAAATGATAACCTTTACTCCATTAGATGGTGTTTTTTTGCTTATGCGGTATCGTGCCAGTTTACGTTCCTCACCCCCATTAAAAGTTCTGCATGCACGTGTGAAGGAAGTATCCAAGACACGTATTGAAATTGAATTTGGTGTAAAGTGTGAAATACCTGAAAAGATGCGATGTGATGATGTGGAGATTCGTGTTCCATGTCCGCATAACACCGCAAGTGTGAAAGTGAATGTGGGAAAAGGTAATGTGAGGTTTGATGGGGTTCAACAGGCCATTATTTGGAAAATACCAACAGTCTCTCAGAAAGATGCGGAGATGTTGCTGGTGGCGGAGATTGTGTTACTTCCTCCTACACTTCCCTCCTCTGAAAAGGTCTGGTCACGTCCACCTATTAAGGTGAGTTTCACTACACCCTCACATGCCCTTAGTGGGTTTCAAGTGAAGGAGCTACGAGTGGAGGAGCCACTGTATAAATATACACCGACTAAGTGGATTCGTTATGCAACGACAACTGCTCAATACGAGTGGAGGTTGTAGTAGTTGTAGTTCTGGAGAAGGCGAAAAAGCAAAAAAAAAAAAGAAACAGTAAACGGGGAGGGGGAACTATGTGAAAAGAACAACAAAAAAGAACGAACGAACGAACGAACGAAACACTTCCTACTACTATTACTACTACTTTTTTACGTATATGTATATACGTATATATATATGTACTGTTTATATTTAACAGCGAAAAATTAGCGACCGTTATCAACTCCAGGCTTACCATTTTTTGATTGTCTCCACTTGAGTTTAATTCCTCTTTAACTAGGGGACACACCTTCTAATATATTTTTTTTTTCTTTTCCTTCTTGTATTCTACTTGATCCATATTTTGTTTTTCTTTTTTTTTTTGTTTTTTTTGTTTTTCTTTTTGATTACTTTATCCTCAACTGTGATTTCCCCACACCCAACAGTGTATATTCAAGACGTAGTGTGGTGAAGCGGGCTGGGGAGACAATGACGGCGAATAAAGAGTACATCAATGCTGCTGGACTGCGACTTGACGGTCGTCGGCCGCATGAGTCGCGGCGAATAACGTTGGAGTTTGGAAAAGTGTCGGGCTGCGATGGCTGCTGCACCGTCACGACGGGACTCTCGCATGTCTGCGCCACCGTCTACGGGCCTCGCGAGGTGACAAACCGGCTGGACAGCAAATATGATGAGACCATCATCACATGCGAGGTGGCGATTGCCGCCTTTGCGGGGGAACAGCGACGGGATCCGCAGCGAAAGTCAAGAATGGCAGAAGAAATCAGTGCAGCTGTGGTGGAAGTTGCCCGATCGGTGGTATTGCTTTCTCAGTATCCTAACTCACAGATTCACATATGTGTAGAGGTTTTACGACAAGATGGGAGTGATAAGGCTGCTTGTATTAATGCAGCTTGTTTGGCTTTAGTAGATGCAAGTGTTGCCATGCGTGATGTGGTCTATGCCCAAACTGTAGGGTTAATTGATAATGTAGATGTTGTCGATCTCACCACAGAGGAGCTTCGTTCGCAATGTACGTCGTTATGTATTGCTGTGAAGGGTCATGATACTTCCAGTATTGTGTGGATGGAGTCTAACAGTCGTGTGAGTTCAGAGACCATTATTCGACTGGTCACAATGGCACAGAAATCCGCCCAAGGGGTTTTTGAATCTTCCCTTCGAGGTCCTTTAGAGGAACACGCAGCAAGAATTCTCAAATTGCAAGGTAAGTTTGTTAACAACGAGTAACGTTTATATACACATACACACATACATTCACGTTTTATTATTATCATTATTATTGTCGAGTACAGATGAGTGGGTCTTTCTCTGCATATAATATATATTGTATTGTATGTTTGTGTAAGTTTGTTTCTCCTGATGAGTACATGAATCTGTTTGTCTGTGTCTGTGTGTGTGTGTGCGGGAGTCCATGTGTCCTTTTGTTTTCCACTTTAATAAATCTTGTTTCACTCTCTTTTTTCTTTTTTCTTTTTCTTCTTAATTCTTTTATTTTCTCCCTCTTCTTCATTTTTCTCTCTTTTTTTTTAAAAAAGTATAAAGGGAGGGAACACACCAAAGAAGAAGAAGAAGGAAAAACGAAGAAATGACAGGCACTGATGAACCAAGCGCCAAGCGTCCGCGCCGTGAGACGGCCCCAGCCATAACGTTCCCATATGAACTGGACACTTTTCAAAAGGAAAGTATCGATGCACTCGAGGATGGCGATAGTGTTCTTGTCTCCGCTCACACTTCTGCCGGTAAGACAACAGTGGCTCTCTATGCAATTGCCAAGGCATTGCGAGAGAAAAAACGTGTTATCTACACATCACCTATTAAGGCACTCAGCAATCAGAAGTTCAGAGAGTTTTCTGAGAAGTTTGACTCTGTTGGTCTCATGACAGGAGATACCACTATTAAGGCCGATTCGGATTGTCTTGTGATGACAACAGAGATTTTACGCAGTATGTTGTATAGAGGAACTGAGATGCTCCGTGAAGTGGGTTGTGTGGTCTTTGATGAGGTACATTATATGCGAGATAAATCTCGTGGTGTGGTATGGGAAGAGACCATCAGTTTACTTCCTGAAGGATGTCAATATGTATTTCTCTCTGCTACTATTCCAAATGCACGTGAATTTGCAGATTGGGTAGAGAGTATTCATCCTGGCACCAAAGTTCATGTTATTCACACTGATTACCGCCCTGTACCTTTACAACACTACCTTTATCCAAGTGGAGCTGATGGTATTTTCCTCATTGTGGATGAGAAGAGTAAATTTCGTGAGGATAACTTTAGACGGGCGATGGCCTCTATGGGAGCCGTGACTGGAGGGACATCGGAAGAAGGCTCAGGGAATGCCGATGCCGTAAAGAGTGGTGGTGGTGGTGGTGGACTCACACGTGGAAAACAAAAGTCAACGAAGAAGGGACCACAACCTATTATGGAAATTATTAAACTCGCGATGGATCATAACATGTATCCTATTATTGTCTTTTCTTTTGCCAAGGCAGAATGTGAGCGTAACGCTTTGGCACTTTCCAAACTTAATTTTAACAATACAGAAGAAGATGCACTGGTTACAGAGGTCTTTAATAACGCTATGGAGTGCCTTGCTGAGGAAGACAGAAAACTTCCAGCAATTGAACATTTACTTCCACTGTTAAAACGTGGTGTGGGTATTCACCATTCAGGACTTTTACCTATCCTAAAAGAAGTGGTAGAAATTCTTTTTCAAGCTGGTCTTGTAAAAGTTCTTTTTTCAACTGAAACCTTTTCTATGGGACTTAATATGCCAGCCAGAACTGTTGTTTTCACTTCCGTAAAAAAGTTTGATGGTGAAACCAATCGTTATTTGACAGGTGGTGAATATATTCAAATGTCTGGCCGTGCTGGACGTCGTGGTTTGGATCGTGTGGGTGTTGTGATTGCAATGGTGGATGAGGCTGTAGAGCCAGAAACACTTAAACAACTCACTGGAGGAGGTGCAGATGTACTTAACAGTAGTTTTCACCTTACCTATAATATGGTACTTAATCTTCTACGTGTGGAAGATGTGGATCCAGAGTTTATGATGCGACGCAGTTTTGCCCAGTTTCAACGATTACGTAATCGACCAGCACTTGAAAAGAGAGAAGAAGAATTAAAAAAAGAAATTGCATCTATTCATGTGGAACATGAGGATGTATTCCGCCAATATACACTTTGCCAAGAACTTCTCGCAAAGAGACGAAAGGAGCAAGAAAGTTTTTTAAAACAACCTGTTTTTCTTAAAAAGTTTACACACAGTGGTAGACTCCTTCGTATTCGACGTGCCTCTGATGGAGTAGATTTTAATTGGGGTATTTGTCGAGCCTTTCACGCGAAAACATCCGATGCCAACTCTCAAGATGCCTCTGCCTATTCCGTCGATGTCTCTGTTATTTGCCGTAAAGCCGATACCTCCCAACCCACATCTCTCATCCCTTGTCATGTCACTACATACACAACAAGTGATGCCGATCTCTACACAGTAACATTTGATTTTGCGGATATTGACAAAGTGGCTCGTTTTCGAGTAAATCTTCCAGCAGATCCCGATACGGAGTCTGGACGGGCACAGATGGTCCAAACACTGGCGAAACTTCACCGACAATATGGGGATGAAGTTCCACTTCTTACAAGTGAAGAAATGGGGGTAAATGATCCAAAGTATTCAAAACTGGAAACACAGGTAGAAAGACTAGAGGCACAATTAAAAGGGAATGAATTGGTTCAAAACCCTACAAAAGAATTGGAAGATGCCTTTGAAACTTTTAAAAAGCGGGATGCATTAGAGAAGGAGTTAAATGATGTTAGAGAAGAATTAAGTCAAGTGACAAGGGCTATTTTTTCGGAGGAACTAAAACAAATGATGCGTGTACTTCGACGAATGGATTATATTGATAAGGATAATATCATTCTAAGGAAAGCACGTGTGGCATGTGAAATTACCACCACTGATGAGAATGAACTTCTTCTTACAGAGCTCCTTTTTAAAGGTGTATTAAATTCAATGGAAACCGAAATGATTGTCGCACTTATGTCTTGTTTGGTAAACCAACACCGTACACCAGATAATTTCTCATTACCAGAAGAATTCCAACAACCATTGAAAGAATTAAATGAGATTGTAAATCGTATAGCAACAGTAAGTCTTGAAAGCGGTATCAAGCAAGAGGGTACAAGTGTTGAAAAGACAATGCCTTCATTAATGGAAGTAACATACTTGTGGGCAAAGGGGGCTAGCTTTGCAGACATCATGACAAAAACAGATGCGTATGAGGGAGATATTGTGCGAATGATGCGACGTCTGGAAGAGCAACTTCGGCAGATGGCTGGAGCTGCACGTTCTCCTGCTATTGGCAGTATTGAGTTACATGATAAGTTCCTCAAGGGTATTCAACTCATTAAGAGAGACATTGTCTTCGCATCCTCGCTCTACTTGTAATAAAGGACTGACGAGGTTTTCTTTTCTGTCACTGTAGAAAACGATGTTTCCTCCTTTACATATATGTGTGTGTGAATGTGTGTGTGTGTGTTTTTTGTTTAAAAAAAAAAGGCAATTTGAGTCGTATAAAAAATTTTTTCTTTTTCTAAAAAAAAAAAATCAAATTATTTTGCTCCTACTAGATTAGAGTGGGGTTTATTATTAAAATATATATATATATATATATATTTTATTACTGGATACTTGTAATAAACTTTTCTTTCTTCCTTCTTTCCTTTACAGAATGTTCTTTTTTCTTTTTTTTCCCATTTTTCTTCTATCTTCTTCTTAACAAAACAAACGAAAATAATATTATTTACAAGTTAAATTCGTATGCTGCGGGGCTGTACGTGCTTCCTTAGCAAACGAAATCATCCCTTTGTGGATGCGGTGAAAGTACTTCTCTCCAGTGGGGCCGGTGGGGATGGGGCGAGTGTGATGTCGCATGAGCACGGAAATGAATTCGCTGGTCCTGGTGGTGGAAATGGAGGAAATGGCGGTAGTGTAATGCTGCGATGCAGTAGAAAGTATACGGATTTATCCCACATTAAAGCTATGGGTAATCAAATTAGTGCCGCAGCTGGTAGTGTTGGTTATGCACGCACCGCACATGGTAAGAGAGGGAAAGATTTACTGTTGGAACTTCCTGTTGGCACGGAGGTAGTGGATGTGGACACCAATGAAGTGGTGTATGATGTGGATGAGGATGGTGTGGAATTGTTACTACTAGAGGGTGGTCAAGGTGGAAAAGGTAATGCGGCCTTTGCGAATAAATGGCATCACTCTCCTACAGAATCTACACGTGGATTACCAGGGAATACCATGTTGGTTCAATTTGAATTAAAAACTATTGCAGATGTTGGATTAATAGGATGTCCTAATGCTGGTAAATCTTCTTTGCTTTCTGCCATTAGCACAAGTAAACCAATGATTGCTCCATATGTCTTTACTACTATGCGTCCTTATGTTGGTATAATTCATGATTTATATGGAAATACATGTCGAGTGGCAGACTTGCCTGGACTTATTGAAGGTGCATATGAAAATAGAGGATTAGGACATCAATTCCTTCGACATGTGGAACGTACACAATCATTAGCGTATGTTGTGGATATGAGTACATCCTACACCCCTTCAGATGCAACAAGAATGCCAGAACCATGGGAAGTTGTGGAAACATTACAAAAAGAATTGGAGTATTATCTTCCTGGCTTAAGTAATAGGGCTATGATGATATTTGCAAATAAGATGGATGTCCACACGGATGAGAATGGTGTACTTCTCACTCACAAACTTCAGGAATTACAAAAGCGAGTGCATCTCCCGGTGTTTCCCATCTCCGCCGCACTTGGCATTGCATTGGGCAGTTCCCATCCACAGGCCGCGTTAACCCCCGCATTGAATTTCATGTGTGAGGAGGTCTTTCGAAAGAAGCGGCGGCAAACGGAGATTCGCAGTGCTCAGAAGCGCACGGAGGCTTTTGTACTCGAAAAAACATTCCGGGCGAAGCACACGGGTGTGTTTGCCCCGGCGGAGGGCCTCACAGACAACAACACCGGTGGCCTCTCACTTGTGGATCAACAACTCGGTACGTGCGGCTGCAGTGGATTGGGTGATAACTTCGATGGGTATCAGCGAGCCACCGCCCGTGGAAAACTGCATGATTATCGTGATTTGACCATGAAGGGAAAATACTGGTCACTCACACGGCAAAACGGAGAGAAGGTGGGTGGCGAAAAGTGGAAGTGAATATGGCTTTGAGAGATTTATTATTGAATCTTATTATTATTTTTCTTCTTCCTTATCAATTGCCATTCTTCTTCTTTTTGTCGTCCATTGTTAATGGTTTATGAGTGGGGTTCAGTTTGTTTCCCCCTTTTTTCTTCTTTGTTGTTGCTTCTCCTGATTTTCTACTTGATTTGGTTGCCTCTGAGAGGGAATCCTGCTATTACATTTAGCAGTTCATTACCTGTAATCTTTTTTTTTTTCTCTCTCTATTATTTTTTTTGTTTGTGTGTATGTGTCTCTGTATTCTATGTTTGCAGATGGAGAGTTGTGATAATGTATTCCTTTTCTTTTCATTTTCATTTATTTCTCAATAAAAAAAAAAAACATCATGAGCATCTCACTTTACACGCACAAAAAAAAGGAGAACGGAAAGCAACAATAGCGAAGTCATAAAGGAAATTGGGTGAAGTAGAGAGAGTATCTAAGCAGGGGAAAGCACAGAAACAAATAAAAAAAATAATCAAGGAAACTAACGCCACTCACAAAGGGTCTGAATAGGAGTAAGACACCTTACCCAGCTTCTCCCACGTGCAGAACACATCTACATAAAACAATACAGAACAGAATAAAAATAATAATAAAGAAGAAGGTGATAACTAATAAATATATAACAGCTTAACGTGAGGGGGAACAAGTAGAGAAGGGAAATAGAATGAGTAAACGTGAACGCGAGGGGACACTGGACAAGACCCGTTGTCTTGCCTTTGTGCGGCGTCTGTGGGATTTGGATGAACTCCGCATGTTCCACCACCCCGTGAGTACGGCTGAGCTGCCCGATTACCACAAGATCATTCGCAATCCCATTGATCTTTCTACTATTCGCCGCGAGATTGAGGCCGGCACGTACGCCGCAGACGCCGATGTGCAGAACGCCGTGGCGCAGATGATTGCGAACGCACTGGAGTACAACGAGAAGGGCACCGCCTGGCACCGGCAGGCCCTTTCCTTCCGAAGGGTCTACTTGGATCTCGCCCGGCAGTCGGGACTGGCCGTCGACGTGGACGAGGCGTACATCCCATCGCGGGCATTTAAGGATGATGAGTCGACACTACGCAAGGCAGAGAGGCGCAATGAGGAGAACCTCGGCGTCGTGCTGAAGGAACTTGAGGCGGAGAAGGAGGTGCCACTGGAGGAACTCATCGCAAAGTACAAGCGTGTGGAGAAACCCAATGGTGATAACAAGAGTGATGATGATGATGATGATGATGATGATGATGATGATGAAGACGAAGAAGATGAAGAAGACGATGATGAAGAAGATGAAGAAGACGATGATGAAGATGATGATGATGATGAAGAAGAAGAGGATGATGATGATGAGAATGATGATGAGAATGATGATGATGAAAGTTCGTGATATTTCGGACCGAGTTATTAGCGAATGGGTTTATTACAGAAGTGAAACGAGGAAGATGAAAAGAAAAGAAAAAAAATGACATTATGCACCGCATACATAGTCTGCTGTTGCTCTCTTTCTCTTCCTTACAGACTCTCTTTCTTCTTTCTTATCACCATTCAGGTGTATTATTTCTTGTTTTTTTTTGGAGTCTCTTCTCTACAATAATGACCATATTGTCTCTGTGTTTTTCTTTTTCTCTTTCTTTTTTTCTTCTTTTATTTCTGCTATGATGTTAACAGTAGGAAGACCTTTATATTTGGAAACTTCTGTTGTGATGGTCTCCCTCGTCCAAATCTATACTATTATACTGGCATTCTTTGAATTGCCTGCTGTCGTGTTATTACTTGTATACGACCAATCCGCTACTGAGGTAACTCCTTGGTTTGATAATGTGGCTCCACTAGGAAGGCGATCGTATGCATTCATGTATGCAGCTATACTTGTACTGATGATGTTCTCAAGGTTACTTTCAGTATACTTGCCAAGACACCGACTATTACAGGTTTACAACGCAATACTGCATACACTGGAGTTGCCACTCTATTTCTCATTGTTGTTACTAATGAAAAATCCCGTATCTCCAGTCTGTTACATCTTTTTGACTTTTATGGTGATTAATTGCGTTTTGTTTAGCTCTCAAGCATTAAAGGTACTTAAACTTGGGACCAAGATCTCTATACATGAGGAAGAGAAGAAGAAGAAAATGTGAATTCTTCTCATTATTATTATTAATTTATTTATGGGTCTGGGAAGACATATAGATTTAAATATCTCTGTACTTTATGGGTGATCTGGTTGCCTACGAGCTCTTGATTTAACATTTGGAATGGTTTCCATTATAGGTAATGTCTCACTTTTTTTTTTTTTGCATCGCTTTCTTTCTTTCTTTCTTCTTTTTTCCCCACACCACCCTTTCTTTATTTTTCTTGTTAATGATTGACGTAGTTACTTGATACAAAAAAAAAAAAATAGAAAAAAATGATGTTTATTCAATTGTATTCACTTATTGTAACTATATTGGCGGATCTTATCTTTCTATTCCGACTTTGCGTGCTGCGACAGACGCTCTCAGAGGCGACCATGGTGTGGTTTGACAAAGCTGCCGATAGCACACAAGGTTCATTACTTCTTTCTGTATTTCTTATCTATTTGGCACTACCAAAACTATTTCTTCTGTATGAACCACTCAGCCGTTGGATATTACTTGTAGCGGCAATTGGTGAATCTCTGCGAGTAGTTGTTTTCTCCGTGCTATTCAGTGAGTTTGAAGGGGCAACGGAGCTTAACACTTTTCTTCTCACATTATTTGCTCAAAACGCATGGCTATATTGGTATCACTGGTATACCACGTATAAAATGTTCTCCCGGCGATCCAAGTAGTCTTTGATGCTACGACCTAACGTTTGATAATTATCTTTTTTTTTTTTTGTTTTCACTCTGTTTTGAGAGATTCTTGTTTCTTCTTTGCTGCCTCTTTCTTTTCCCTTCTTTCCTTCGTCTTTTCATTTAAAAAAAAATCTTTTTTTTTTTTTTTATTCATCCTCTTTCTGTTTTACTTTGAAAGAAAAAATAAAAAAAACAACAAGCGATAACAGTAGGCGTAATAGAGAGAGAGAGAGTGGTATGGGTGGGACTGCACATCTATGTATCATCTCTGGAAGCTCGCGCTGAACCCCTTGACATCTGCTCTGTTGCTTGTGATTGTATCCTTCTTGCTATGCCATACTAGCGTGGTGACGAGTTTGGCTGTTTGTTTTGCCCTTGGGTTGTGTTATTACAGTATGAGTCCACGATTTCAGGCGAATTACGATATTTGGCGACGATTAGCACATGGACGTTCACATCCCGTTCGACTTGCTGACATGGAAATTATGACGGAAACTAGACCAATCGTCATTGTTTCTTTTTGTGAAAAAGGTATCAGTTGGTTTGATCACGCATTAATGTATGCAAACTCCGATTTTGGCCGATTTGGTCCTTGGGCTTGTTTCTGTCTTGTAAATCCGTTAACATCTTCTTTTCGTATGCCACTCGCACGTTTTGTATTACGAAAAATGGGTGGTATACTGGAGTATAGACGTGAAGTCTTTATTGATTTAATGAAACGTAGAAACCTTCATGTTTCTGTTATCTTGTATGATCAGTTTGTTGGGTCTAATGCTGGTGAAATGCCTGTACGACTTCAAAATAAAGGCATGTTTGGGGCTTTTTTGCGGCTGCATGCGTTCATTGTGCCTGCAGTGGCTTGTTGTGATGGGAATGTGCGGTTGGGTTCTCTTCTCACACCGGCCTGCAGTGGGAAAGTACCGGCGCCTTTGGAAGTGCGGAGGGCCGTGAAGCTGTTTGCAGAGGAACTGCAACGATTACATGTGGAGGTGTTTGATTCCGTGTTGGAGGTGGAGGATTAACGCTGAACAATGTTTGGATATGTGACATTTTTTTTTTTCTTTTTTTTCTTTTCTTCTTTTCTTCTTTTCCCCCTTTCTCTTCTTGTCTCTCCTATGCATACAATTGTTTGCAATGTGGGCCTCTATGCATGCTTGTGCTTGTATGCGGGGACAAGTGGAGACTAGTTTAGTGACTGTGGGATCTCCGGGTTGTACCTGTAGTTCGGTTATTTGCTTCTGCAGAATATTCCCACTTTTTTCTTTTTCTCTCTCTCACACTCACTCTCTTTCTTTCTCTCTCTCTCTCTCTCTCTCTATATATATATATATGTTGTTGTTGTTGTTGTTGTTGTTTTTATTGTTGTTTATCCTTGTTTCTGTGTCTCATTTCCCCTCATTCCCTTCTTTATTTTTCTTTTCCCCCTTCACACATTGCAACACACTCTCTTCCGTTTATATACTAAAAAAACAAACAAACAAAAAAAAAAAAAAAAAAACAGAATTCTCGCGACAAGAGAGAAAAAGAAAAAAAAAAAAGAAAACAACCAAACAACTTAAGTATAATGCTCACTCGTTTTGGCCGCACCTGCCTTCCCAAGGGCGTGAACGTGCAACGCCGCTTTCTCAACATCCACGAATATCAGTCCAAGGCGATCCTGAAGGAGGGTGGCTGCAAGACGGAGTTTGGTATTCCATGCCGCACTCTGGAGGAAGTTGAGGCCGCACTTGGAAAGATCAAGACGGAGCGCAAGGTGGTCAAGTCACAGATTCTCGCTGGTGGACGTGGTATGGGCACCTTCAAGGACGGCTACAAGGGTGGTGTGCATGTGTGCAAGAACGCCGAGGAGGCCCTCGAGTGTGCGAAGAAGATGATGAACAACACACTGGTGACCAAGCAGACAGGACCAAAGGGCCAAAAGGTGAGTGTGCTGTACGTGACGGAGGCGGTGACAGGCATTAAGCGTGAACTCTATCTCGCTCTTCTGCTCGACCGCAAGACCGCCTCTCCCATGTTCATTGGAAGCGCTGAGGGTGGTATGGGTATTGAGGAGCTCGCACAGAAGAGTCCAGAAAAGATTAAACGCATGCGCATTAACGTGCAGGAGGGTATCAATGATGATAACTGCGTTGCTTTTGCCAAGGAACTCGGCTTCAGTGGAATATCCGCACAGAAGGCCGCAGAGCAAATTAAGTCTCTGTACAACATTGGCAAGTCCAAGGACTGCACACAGGTGGAAATCAACCCACTTGTGGAGCTGGAGAATGGTGATGTGATGTGCATTGATGCCAAGCTCTCCTTTGACGACAATGCGGAGTTCCGCCAGAAGGACATCTTCGCTCTTGCCGACGCCACACAGATTGACCCCAAGGAGGTCCTGGCGAAGAAGCACGATCTTAACTACATTGCCCTTGACGGCAACGTTGGCTGCCTGGTGAACGGCGCTGGTCTGGCGATGGCCACGATGGATCTCATCTCCCTTGACGGCGGCCGCCCCGCGAACTTCCTCGATGTTGGCGGCAGCGCCACGACGGAGCAGATCATTGCGGCCTTCCAAATCATCACCGGCGACGAGAAGGTGAAGAGCATTCTTGTGAACATCTTCGGCGGCATCATGCGCTGCGATGTGATCGCGGAGGGTATTGTGGCCGCCTCCAAGCAGCTGGCGGGCCGCAAGGTGCCGGTGGTGGTGCGGCTGAGTGGAAGTATGGAGGAGGAGGGAAAGAAGATCCTCCGCGAGAGTGGACTCCCACTTCACCCCGCGCAGAACTTCGAGGAGGCCGCAAAGCTCGCCTGCGAACTCGCAAAGTCAGCATAAACAAACTCTCTGTAATGCAGTAATATGAAAGAGAGAAAGAGAGAGAGAATGAGTGAATAAAAAAAAAAAAGGAGGGTGAGAGAGGGAGAGAGAGAAATACACAAACACACACACTCTTTAAGGTATATATATATATATATATATATATTTATTTATTTATTTATTTATAAGAAGTGGTGGAATAAGAGTAGGAGAAGTGGGAAAAGGGGAGATGAAGAAGAGGAAGAGTAAAAGAGAAGAAGAGGTGTGTATGCCTTTTTTATTTTTCTTTTCTTTTTTCTCTTCTGCTTTCCATTATTCCTTTTTATCTTGCGTCTTTCTTTGCACTCCTTGTATTCGAATGTATAAGTCTGCATGTATAGCTGTATGGAAAAAATTGAATCCTGACAGTAGCGGGAGGAAAAAAAAAGAAAATTGCAGGGACACAAGATAAACCAACAGACATACAAGCAGATTTATATATAACGAAGAAATAAGCGTCCGAGAGGAATCCAACAAAAAAAAAGAAAAAAAAGAAGAGATGAGTATGTTAAGTTACTTCAGGATGAATGGATTCAAGGACTGTGATGAAAATAAAAAAGAAAAAAAAAACAAAAAACAAACAAAAAAAGAAAACTGGAGAAAAAAAAATATATACAACGAAAAAAAAAAATAATAACATCAAAAAAAAAAAAAAAAAAAAATAAACGAGTTTCTGGATCCATAATTAACAGAAGAAAAATGAACAAAAGCGTGAATAAGTAAGGAAAAGGGAAGAAACCAGGATGCAGTATTCATCGATACCATTTAAAAGGGAGCATAAATAGAGAAGAATAAAAGAAAAAAAAAAAGAAGAAATGAGAGAAGAAAGATGATTGAACTATACGGAATCACCAAATGACATCAGTCTTTTTTTTTTTGTTTTTCTTCTTTTATTTTATTATTATTATTATTATTATACTCTCTTCTTCTCTCGCTGCGGTCTTGTCATATCTCTATCTATCTATGTTTCTTTATTTTTCCCTTTATTTTCCTTTTTTCACTCCTCCTCCTCCTCACGGGTATTTTGCGTTTACTGCTTTGCCCGTGAGACTGAGAAAAGAGTACGGGGGCAAAAAAAAAACAGAAGAAACAAAGAGAGAAAGAAAAAGAGAGAATGAGATAAATAAGATTGAAGAATAATGTCGTTCTTTATTTAACGACATCTGTTGAAGAGAATAAAGAAAGAAAGAAAGAGAGAATAAAAGAGAGAGATTTGCAGATAAATGTACAAAGGGGGTAGACTCACACTTATATTTTTGTTATTCATTTCTTTAACAGGAGCAAGAGTGAGAATGTGTGAAGGGAGAAAAAAAAAAAAAAAGAATCACAACTACAACCACAACAGTGATAAAAACTCACTTGCAAGACTGTATGTATGTATTCACTCTCTCTTTAATTGTGTGGATACATTGTATTGTTTGTTGCACTATCTGCCAGAAGTCCTTCTTTTCTATTATGATTATGATTATTATTATTATTGTTATTATTATTCGATTCGACGACAAAAGACATTTTAAATGGATCTAATTTCGTTTATGCTCCCCTGGTGTTTGATGAGAGTGCAGATGTCTGGCAACTTCATGTTTTTTACGCACACAAACAGAGACTTTTTTCTCTGTCTCGAAATCATTCTTTTTTTCTCAAAAAAAAAAAAAAGAGTTTTTTTTTTCTTTGTTCTTTTGATTGGTGAGATTCTTCCTTTTTCTTCTCTTGTGAAGATACAAAAGCATCTTGAATTCACTTTCTCTTTTCTTTTCTCTTCTTTTTTTTTTTCCAAATGGTTCTGCTGGATACCAATAATGATAATAATGTCCCCTTCACAACAGAACGAAGGAGGGATGTGAAGGAAGAGAGTCGAACAGAAATAACGACAACTCCCCCCTCTTCACACACACACACACACAGAGAGAAAGAAAGAAAGAGAAGAATAAGAAAACAACAACAACAACAATAATAAAGAGGTGATAATAACAACAATAATAATAATAAAAGAAAAGTAATAGAAACCACACATAGAAAAGATTGATCATGACTGGAATCACTGTAGAGGAACTCTGCATTTCTCTGCGTGCAGATCTGTCGGCTCTCACACAATTGGAGAACAGTTGTGATGCCCATCGTGTCTTTGACGATATGGAGCGGCGAGTTGTCAGTAGTATTAGTGATGGACTGCTGCCTAATGGGGCAACGCCTGTGTTGGATTGTTTATTATCTCATAATGATAACAGGGATAATAACAAGAAGAGTATAGACAACAACACGGAGGAGAAGAAGATGAAGATAAAGGATCATAATCCTCCTTATTATTATTATCTTTCTAATGAAGGTTTACTTGTTTTTGTGAGGGATATCTGTGAAAGTATACAAACTTCCGGGACAGATATGCAGGAAGCTAAACTATTAAAAAGGACAATGACATTTCTTAGTTTTATTGTGAATACATTATCGGATAATCTCTCTATTGCGCAGGCAGAGGAATTATTACGAGTTGCTTTAAAAGTTTTCTTACTACTACATCGACTAGAAAAACACACAGAGACACAATCAGAGAGTTTGAATGTTGTTAATAATGTATTGAGACGATGTAGTCATCGCCTCACTCTTGCACCCTCAGAGCTAGAAGGAATCATGCATGCATGTATACAAGTGATGGAGGGTAAAACCATAAATGGTCAGCGAGTAAAGAGTACAGCTCTTCAACTGATTGGTTGTTTGTGTATATCATACACAGAGTTTATGTTCCCACATGTTACTCGTGTGCTTCACTTAATGTTAACTGCAATGGGACGTCTTGTTACTATAGATAAGAAGAAAAATGATCCTAATAATATGTACAAGAATGGAATAGATGATATTATTATTATTATGATGATGAAGGATAAAGAGAAGAGAAAAGAAGAGAAAGAGAAGGAGAAAGAGTCTATGGTATTATCAGTGATAGTGGAGCAGCAACTCGTCGTGGAGGGATTTCTTCTCGCTATTGCCGACTACACAACAGTCTTTCCACTCACCTTTGACGACTCTGATCATCACACTATTCCGCTGATCCATCAACTTGTTAAGAGCTCCATTTCTCTAGTGGACAGTTCAAAGAACTACCGCCTTTGCAAAGCAGCACTTATTTTACTTAAAAGAGGCGCTATTCATTTGAAAGAATACCTCATGAGGGATGCGGAGGAGTATTATGATATCTTGAGATATTTGTGGAATCACAAGAATGTGGAATTACGCCGGACTGCATACTCGGCAACGGCAGGATTTCTGCAGGCGTTGTCAATTGTCTGGGGAGAAGTTCCGCAACACCGTGAACCCATTCCCTTATTGCGTTATTTACATAATAATATTGAGACAACACTGCGGAATAGTCACAGAGCGGCGAAGAGGGAATTATCATTTGCGGTCATGGCGCTTGGATATATTGCGAAGCCTTTGAGTGTATGGATTGGTGTGGACTTTCTCACTCGTGTCTTTCATGAGTTGATCCACACATGTGAATTTCTACTAACTCCAAGTGTAGAGCCACGGCGAGAGATGGTGCGGCTGTTGCCCTTCTTTATCGTCTCCTTTGCGTTTGTGTTGATGGAACTTCCACCGGAGTTGTGTGAACTCCCGCGGTGGCTGCGGCGACTGATGTACACCGCACTGCAGTTGTGCCCGCGGGAATTGTGCGCAGAGCGGGATCGCGTTGCCGTTGGAACTGCAGTGTTGAAACTACTTGTGGGGATTCACTACCGGGGCGGAATGCAATACACCGTTGCCGGCTTTGTACAGCAGTTACTCACATTAGTTTGCAACCACACTTCATCATTATCATCATTGTTATTATTAGAAGTAGTGCCTACGTCTAAGGAAGAAGAAAAAATGAATAGTTTGCAGAAGATGCCATCCTCCCATACGGCGTATTATGTGAATCTGTGGAAGTTGTTACTATTGGATATACACAGTGTTGAGGATTGGGGATATCCGTGGAGTGAATATGTGTCTGAGACTCTGTTAGAAACTCTGCGGTCTTCTTTGCGTCGAGAAATGGTGCGAGTAGAATGTGAAATGCTGCGTCGATTCGATCTTTCACTCGTGAGTGAAGACCATCATAATATTAATAATAATAATGATATTAATAATAATAATATTGATAATAATGACAAGAGTAGTGCTAATATTTATATTCAGTGGTGCTCTGAGGAAGGTTATGTGAGACGACCACGTAGCCCGAATGATTGCATGGCCTTATTTCATTTTATTCAGTTCTTTGTGAGTACTGTTGATATCACTGTAAACAACACCGTTAACAATAATAAAAACAATACTATATGGAGATCAGAGGATGCCGCCTTGCGTCTGATTGAAGTATTTGTGAAACTCTCCAGAGATAACACTCATGTCTCTGGTTTCTACACATGTCTTCACACCGTTCTGCAAACAGCGAGACGTGAGGATCTTTCTCTAACGAATGCGGAAGTATTCCTACGACCCTTTGCTCTAACATGTGCACATCGACTAACCATGTATACTGATGCATCTCTCCTTCAGTGGGCTCTTTGCATGATGAGTTTGGCGGAATATGGATTCGTAGAATCAAAAGAGATGATGTTGTGTGCAGTTGAAGTAGTGCTTCACAATACAAAAGACACTGCGGCCGTTACGGCGGCTCTTGCCTTGTTGAGATCCAATACAAATGGAATCTTTACATCTCCTATTTCTATATGTAATGATGATAATGATCATCATCATAATCGTATGCAGGGGAATACCCTTCAAGATTTGGTATCTAATCAAAAAAAGGCTTTATCTTTACTACATGATATACGACTAAGTATGAGTAACCAACAGGGATTTCTTTATAAGAAGAAGATGTTAACACCTCACCCTTGTTCTCGTTGTGTTGATGGGATACGACGTTCTTCACATTCTGACAATGCGAACAAGACACATTTACATCTTCTTATGGGAGATACAACACTCTCTTTACCGCTGGATGTACTCATTCCACGCATTCTGTTGCTCTCTCACTGCAGAGAAAGTCCTCACGTGCGAATGGCGGCGTGTCAGTTATTGTGCATAGTGATAAAGTGGCTGCTAACGCATGCTGTGGAAAATTGGTATGATAGTGTCTTTGAGACTATTGTGAATTTAGCTGCAGACGATGTGGAGGATATACGTGATGGATTTCGAATGGTGTTAAGGCAGAGTGTGAAGTGGTTTGCCCAACATGATGTGAACTGCAGCGGAGCAGAAATTGTGGAGAATCTTTTTTGGCGAATGTTAACAACAACAACAATAATAATAATAATGTGTGGAGTGTCTGTGCGTCAGACGGCGTTGGAGGCCCTCATGGAATCTGTGGAGTGGATTGTAGAGTATCATGGCCATGATAATAGAGATATCTCTATTCATCATTATTACTATCATCTTTATTCTTCTTATCACCATCAACAGGAAAGAGAAGAAGAAATGTTTTCTGCTCATGTGGAAGAAAGTCGATTGGGACGTATACTGCGGTATTGCTGTGGACTCCTGCGTGATATTTCTCTACGCTGTCGGCTTGGAGCTGCGACGGTGTTGGGCCGCGTGTTGTTTGGACTGCGGGATAACACAGTCCTCTCTCCCTTTGTGTTGATGTTGATGGATACACTTCTGCAGGCCTTTGTGGATGTGCGGGGAGAAAAAAATGCGGAGGCGTTGACGCTTGTGGAGAAACTCCGCGAGTGTGTAATGCGGCTGGAATATTATCTCACACAGCACAGTGATGCCCTTGTGAAGATGTGGGGGGAGGCGTGTTGTGTAGATGTGCACAAGGCGGTATTAGAGAAACTTGTGATCCATGCATACCGTGAGGGACGAAGTGCCGCCAACACTATGGCACTCTTAAGACTCTTTAGGGCTTTCTACAATTGTAATAGCAATAGGAGTGATAATAATAATAATAATAATAATAATAATAATAATAATAATTATAATAATCACTATTTAGATGACTATATGACTATAGTGGAAAGGGAGAGTATGTGTGAAATGAGTCTTGCAGAGCGGGCGGACTGCGGTCTGCAGTTGTGGGATCAACACAACCGTTTGGGTTTTCAACGACCTATGAGGAAACGTTTGCGGGAAGAAGAAGAAGATGATAATATTAATAATACTAATATTAATAGTAATAATCATAATCATAATATTAGGTGTGGTGTAGAGGATACACTCCTACACCGAGTGCTGCATGATGTAAGTCAATACCTGCAGGCTGTCCACAGTGGGAATCATCATCATAATAACAATCATCATAATAATAACAAGAGAAGTTTTAACGTTGATGCGGAGCGATTGTTCTCCATCGCCCATCATTTGGTGCGATTACTCCGCAATGCGTCCGAGGCCACTCTGTGTCTTTCTCTCTGCGGTGATTCTCTCCTACACGTGAGTTCATGTCTATTACTAAATCCTGCAGAAATTGGAATATCAACAGATCTCTACAGTAGCAATCCACATTCATCTGGAGAAGATCTTCTTATAGCTCTATGGAATACCATACAATACGACCCACACCGCAGGCATACATTTCTCGCTTCTCTGCATGCACAAATTCCCTCCGCTCTATTGTCGCTGCAGCCATCAGTACTGTTGTCTTTTCTTTTGGATTCCTTTCATGCAAACCCAATTGCAGCCACACAGCGTCTTCATGCAATTGTTGTACTCGCAGGATTGGGATTGTGTGAAGAGTGGCTCTCACACTCTGTCTTGCAGAACCTTCTTGCTAGTCTCTCTATACTTGTGCGGGATGATGATATCGCTGGAAGCCAGTGGGGGACTATCTTTTCTCATTTATTGTTATTACTATTAATAGCTGGTGGTATGGAACTAGCGGATATTCTTGTTGGGATGGAACACTATGATTCTCAATGCCAAACTCTTGCTAAGAAGATACACTCCAGTCTTCTTGTGGGAATACTGAGAGAAGGATGGAAATATGAAAAGGACGATCATAGTAGTAGTAGTAACAATAAATACACTTTCTTATTGTTATCACGTCTCTTTATACAGTTATGTCGTTTATGTGGAGAATTGTTTATACGGAAGAATGATCAAAACGCCCTCGAGAGTATTCCACTGGTAGCCTTACGTGGGATATTAGAAGATATCTCCTCCCTAGTGGAGTCTAAAGCGACAGGAATAGAAACAGAAGAAGAAACTGTGGATACAACTATGATCGTATTACTATTAGAAGAAGGTATTGCTCCACTGATGAAGATAAGGCGAGAGTCTCCAGCTGTGTTAGAGTTCCTCTTGGAAGTTCATTCTCACTGTCTGCGAGTGAGCCGTATTGGAAAAAAGAATAATCTACTCCTGCGCTATGAGGAGATATTAATTAAAGATATTACTATCTCCGTGAATGGAGAGCGGTGGACGATGCGTTCACATACACTCTTGACTAGTCGTCTTGCAGTTCAATTGTTTGTTTCTGGTGTTCATACACTTTGTGAAGCTGTTACTCTCATGAGTCTTTATAAATGTCCATTACAACGGTATCTTTCACTCACTACAGAGTTGTTAACACATACGATTAATAATGAACTACCACTTGATTGGAAAGAACTTGGATCAGACAATTTGTGTGGAGAGAACCAAATGATTATTGTAAATGCTATTCTAAAGCTTACAAGATGTACAGCTGTGTATAAGCGTGAACTGTTATTCTTGTTATTACCACTATTACAACAAACAGATTTACCCTTATATGATATTATTATGAAAGCTATTTATGATGTACTAGAGCAATTGACACCTAATATCCTTGGAGAGTTATGCCATCAGTCATTTGAAATGCAGCAAGAGGGTGGATTTCCACAATCCGCATGGTTAGCCCTCACACATTGTATTCTATTGCCATCTCTATTCTCTCTTCCACACGAGTTGAAGATGAATTTCTTCTTACAATACATTGTGGATCTCGTAAGAGATGCTGCCATTCTACCAAACACAACAATAACAACAACACTACATCGACAGACGAGAGCATTTATTATTCTGGAAGCCATGTACCGCATGATGAAAGTAGAGGATCTACGGGGTTCTATACATATAGCCTTTATAGGGAAGTATGATCAAACCAAAGATAAAGATAAGAATAAGAATGATGATGGGAATCACAACGGAGGGAAGGAACTTATTGTGAAACTCATAAAAATATGCACAACGGCTCAAACCTTTGAATTCCCATTAGAACCTTCTTCTTATGCTGTTTCTGCTCCTCTTAATAATAATAATAATAATAATAATAATAATAATAATAATAATAATAATAATAATAATAATGTGAGAAACTCTCAAGAGTTGATGATGTATCGACAGGCTGCATATCGTTGCCTCGCAGCTCTTCTCACGGCAACACAAGATCAGGAAAAAGTCTTCACGCGACTGTTGCTGGATTCACAAAATCATCATATGTGGAATCGCATTGTAGATATTTCTCGCAAACACCAATTCCCAGTAGAGGCAAATTTCCCGCGGGTGACACAACAGTTGGTAAAGATTTGTAGTGATTGGGAAATAAATACGTTGTTTGCATCGCAGAACCGTGTTGGCAGAAATCTGTCTACAATGCAGATGGATAATAATTTGCATTCGCGTTGTTTCTCTCTTGGTCTAACGGATTGTATTCATTTAAGTTCACAGATATCACTTGAGTCCCATTACAAAGAGAGGGAGAAGTACAAAACAACTCTTGTTAACCCATATGATATTTCTGAGGGTGAGGATGGTGTTTCATCTCCTGTTTGTGTGAATGTGGATAGTGTATGGACCAGTACATGTTCTGGTGCTCTCCTCCACATTCTGGACTTTATGCTACTAAAGTTTAATAATAATAATAATAATAATAATAATAATAATAATAATAATAATAATAATAATAGTGGTTGGATAAATGAAATTGTACGACTGGTCTGCGAAGGGACTATTCATATAAACGTGAAACTAGTGTTGGTTCGTCTCATCCAACTTCGGGCATTATACTTTGCACCAGCCGCGAATACACTACGGGATCCACTTGTAGATCTCATCTGCAGCAGTGATGATGGGAGCTGTGGGGGATTACACTATGTAGTCTACGATCTGCTCTCATTGCTGCTGCAGTGGTGTGAGAGAGAAGCGATGAGGTTTACGGTGGACTCTGCAAGTCGATTGATGAAGTTTCTTCTCTCTGCGGTGCCACACCCGGAGAGTTGTGTGATGGAACGGAATTTATCGTTACTGCGGCGCTTTTGGCACTATACACGAGAACTGCAGCCTCTGCAGAATACGGAGTTATTACGATTACTGCGAGGCTCTACACTAATGGCGAAGTGTGGTGTATATATCTGCCGTCTCTTTGTAAACGATGGGGTGTTATTATCTTCTCTCGCGATGGATGTTAAGACTCCATCATCATTATCATTAAGTGAATTGCATACATCATTTATATCCCTTTTGGAGAGAACAGAAGATGAGGGGCTTTCTACTGCCATTGCAGAGTTAATTGGATTAGAACTAAACAAACTTAAGGAAATGAGTGATAATTTCAATACTACTAATATTACTACTAATCCTACTATTATTAATACTACTAATAATACTATTAATATTACTAATACTACTAATAATACTATTACTACACTGCGGGAGATGATACGAATAACTGTACTGCGGCTGTTGTCTTCACGTGGGCGGAGTCAAGTCCTGTGGGCTCTGCGTGGATTGATAGAGCACGATCTCAACATATTGGAGGATATTCCATTCAGCACACTCTGTGCAAACTACACGGCTCTTGCCGTTGCTGAGCAGTTAGTACTACTCGAAATCATGAATAAAGTGGTAACACGGAAGTATTCAAAAGAAGAAGAAAAAGAAGGACGAGAGAAGAAGTGGGTTTCACATGTATACTCAACACTACAGGGACTTTTCTCAAATACTTTACATTCCTTTGTTGAAGTGGTGCGTATATCCCTGTATGAATTACTTATTGGATTACTTCCCTCCTTGTCGCTGGCTTCACTTGCCAGTGAACTTGAGAGTCTTGTGGTTCACTTTTTATCAACAGACGCCTGGGAGGCAATGCGTGCACGTGAGGAGACCAGAGTTGTATTCTTTCAACTGGCCATTCACACACATAAAATACATCCATCATATCTTCTCTTCCATACACTCGTGAGAGGCGTAAAAGATGTATCTTTACATGTACAAACTATGCTGTTGGAGTATTTGGACCGGCATGTACTCCCACGTCATATCAACAGTCGTTTTAATTCACTGTTGGAGATAATGAGAGATCCACAAATTATTGGGACTGCGTGGTCAAAGTATACATCTGTGTTGTTGTTGTTGTCTTCTTCTTCTCTTGATAACGGAAGTAATGACAAGTGTAGTAATGAGAACAGGAACAAGAGTTTTCCACTTTTACTCTCGCCGTCTAAAACATTAGGGAAATGTACAAAATTGAATACGCCACTAGTTCCTCCCTTTATATCTTTTTTTAACTCTCCAGTTCTACAAAATGAAGATTCTGCTGAGATGTATACAAATAACGGTAATGCCAGTGATTCTCATCTGGGATCACTAATTAATGAACAGACATCAAGTACAATACTCTCACATTGTATGATGAGAGATGATAAATATAATGAAGAAGATAAGAAATTTCGTGAAGAAGGTCTCACATCTGTGTTTATTTTACCGGATTATCATGACAGTGATGTTTTGGAAGTTCAAATGCCTCTCAGTTCTTTTCTGCTCCCGCTTCAGGCATTGTGTCTACATGACGAAGAGATTGCACGCTGCTGTGTAGATGCATTTAAAGAGAGATTGGAATAATCTCCATCTGCCAAGAGAGTAACAAATAAGAATAAGTAATTCTTTTAGAATAAATCCATGAATTTTATACTGAAGATGAAGGTGGGGGGAGGGGTAGGCAAAGCGAAATACATTACTGGGAATTATACAATGCAAACTACATTTTTTGTGCCATCAGGATAAACGTTCCAGTCTTTCTACCGGATTGTTATTCTCATGCCTGTTATTATTATTGTTATTATTATTATTATTATTATTATTATTATTATTATTATTTGAAAGATAGTTTCCTTTTTGACGTTCTTTCGTTCTGCATTCGCAGTCAAGTTGGAGTGTTATTGTGTGTATATGTGTGAGTGCCGAATGGACTGAGGATGAGGTGAGAAAGAAAGAAAGAAACGAAAAGTAAGTAAGTGAGGGGTATTGTATATTTTCCTTTGAAGTTTAGATGTGATTACTATGACCTTGGTTCTACAAGGAGTAGTAGTTCTTGCTTTTACAAACATTGCACCCGAGTTTATATATATATATATATATATATATATTATTTTTGTTTTTCATTGGTTTCAGTGATTCTGCATAGTGTTGATCCATTATTGCTGTTATGATGAATATTACCACTGTTTCTTTTATTCCGTGATGCTCAAATGCCTTTTTTTTTCTTTTAAATTCTGTTTATTCATTTAAACGGTGTAGCGAGGAGGAAAAAAAAAAGAAAAGAACAAATACATATATATATATAT